TATCTATCTATCTATCTATCTATCTATCTATCTATCTATCTATCTTCCACCTTTCTTATTTTCAACAGTAACTCAAGGTTAACATACATAATACTCCTTTTTCCTCCTATTTTCCCCACAACAACAACCCTGTGAGGTGGGTTGGGCTGAGAGAGAGGGACTAGCCCCAAATCATATATTTCCTATTCTAGTTATTTGGTAATTCAGGACCCGTGTTTAGGAGCACGAATAGTCATGAACAAATGTTGTGAGATGGCATCAGTTTCTTCTCTAAATTGCAAACTAAGATATTTTTTTACCTGTTTTAAAAAAGGCATGTTAGTAAAATCACTCGAGCACATGTTGAGATTTCCAGGCATTGTTTTCTCAGGGTCTCTCTCAAATCTTGCAGGTCAGCAAAGCTTCAGAAACATTTCTCAGCTCAAGGTACAAAAAGGGGATTGCATCCGGCTACGCTGCAAGGTAAAAGGCAACCCTTTGCCCCAGGTGACTTGGGTTAATGGAACCAAAGTCTTGAAGACAAAACCCCGAGCCTTGAATGTCCTGGAGCTTCCTGATCTTAAACCGGAAGATGCTGGGAAGTACACGTGTCAGGCAGTCAATGAATTAGGCTCTGTTGAAGCATCCCTTGAGCTCTCCATAACAGGTATGTGAGGCAATTTTGAGGGATAGAAAATCTGGAATTATGGGAAGTCCTAGCACTTATCCTTATGCAGTGTATTCAGAAAGTATTCAGACTCCCTTCGTTGCAAGATCTTCAAGGAAGAATGGCCAGAAAACCCATCAATCCAGACATGCAAAAAAAAAGACAAAAAGTCTTGAGGATGTAATTACTGCCAAAGATGCTTCAGCAAAGTACCGAGAGAAGGGCCTGAATGCTTATGCCAGTGTGATATTTCAGGATTCCCCACCCCCCAGCACCTCTTTTTAATAAATTTGCAGACCTTTCTAAAATTTTGTTTTCACTTTGTCATTAAGATAAAGATAAAGGTTCCCCTCACACATACATGCTAGTCGTTTCCGGCTCTAGGTGGCAGGGCTCATCTCCGTTACAAAGCCAAAGAAGACGTCCGAAGACATCTCCGTGGTCATGGGGCTGGCAGGACTAAACACCGAAGGTGCACGGAACGCTGTAACCTTCCCACCAAAGTGGTACTTATTTTTCTACTTGCATTTTTACATGCTTTCGAACTACTAGGTTGGGACAAGTAGCGGGAACTCACTCTGTTACACGGCGCCAGGGATTCAAACCACTGAACTGCCAAACTTTCTGATCAACAAGCTCAGCATCTTAGCCACTGAGCCACCATGTCCCTTGGTTTTGTTTCTTTGTCTGTTTGCTTCATTATTATGGGGTACTAAATGTAGATGAATGAAGGGGGAAAAAACAATGAATTTCAACAACGGTAGAATCAGACTGCAGCATAATAATAATTGACAAAAGTGAAGAGGGGTCTGAATACTTTCTGAATGCACTATAGCCAAGAAGGGATGGAATTTGGGGGATGCTGGGGCAGGGTTGTTTCTTTTTTTAATTTATTTTTATATATTTATATCCTGCTTTTATTAATATTTTCATAAGCAACTCAAGGTGGCGAACGTATCTAATGTTCCCTCCTCCTTCTACTTTCTCCACAACAACAACCCTATGAGGTGGGTTGGGCTAAGAGGGAGTGAATGATCCAAGGTCACCCAGTTGGTTTTCATGTCTTAGCGGGATTATAACTCACCATCTCCTGGTCATTGACCCAAAATCACCCAGCTGGCTTTCATGTCTAAGGGGGGACTATAACTCACCATCTCTTGGTGATTTACCCAAAGTCACCCAGCCTTCTTTCATGCCTAAGGGGGAACTAGAACTCACCATCTCCTAGTGATTGACCCAAAATCACCCAGCTGGCTTTCATGTCTAAGGGGTGGGGGATGAGAACTCATGATATCCTAGTCATTCAGTCAGCTCAAGGTCATTCAGTTGGCTTTCATGCTGATGATAGGATTAGAACTCATCATCTCCTGTTGACCATCCCAACTTAGCCAGCTGGTTTTCATGGTTAAGGATGGGACTAGAACTCACCATCTCCTGGTTTCTGGACTGCTACCTTAATCACTAGAGCAAATTGGCTCCGTATTTAAATCCAAACTGGATTAGAAAAACAACAAACTATTGAACTCTATCTGTTCTTCTGTCCAGCCAAAGACCCAATTAAAACCCTGCTTCTCAAGGTGACTGGTGCCCTTGTCGTGCTTGTTGTTATCATGATCATCGCTGGGGTCATCCTTGCTTCTAAAAGGTAGGTAATTGTGGGAATTTGTTTCTGGATTGATCGATGAACGATGAGGTTGAAAATATATGTTGGAAGATAATGTCATCTTCTGAATTTCAGGATATTTTTATTTGGCATGCTTACCATATTTTTTTGTAAAAAGAATAAAGGTGGGATATTAATGTGAGTAAATAAAAAACACATACATAAGCTGTGGTTTCTCCTTAGCACTTGTAAAATGATAATAGTTATTCTGTTTACCCTGCTATGTTGGTGAGTTTCATTTCAGGCTTACTATTGATTTGGAGGTTTTAAACTGAATGGAGTTAGACATGACTGGGGGAACATGGAAACTTTGTAAAATTGATTACAAAGATAGATAGATAGATGGATAGATAGATAGATAGATAGATAGATAGATAGATAGAAAGAAATATGATTGATAGTTATAAATAGATGAGATAGGTGAGATAGATAGATATGAGATAGAGTGATGAGATAGAGAGATGAGATAGATGAGACCGACAGACAGACAATCTAGGCCAGGTGTCTGCAACCCGCAGCTCTGGAGCCACATGCGGCTCTTTCGGCCCTCTGCTGAGGCTCCCTGTCGGCTGATCCCACCACTGGCTGGCCCCTCCCCTCCCAGTCACTCCTTGCCTGGCCTGAGAAGGTAAGGCTGATGGTGGGGAAAGGAGACTCGCTCCATATTCCAGAGCAGGACGTGACTGGGTGGGAGGGAGTGATGTCGAGTTGGCCACACTCACCCAGTCACACTGGTTGTTAAATTACTGGCTCCCGGGGTTTTCTTTTCTGTGGGAAATGGGCCCAAATGGCTCTTTGAGTGTTTAAGGTTGCAGAACCCCTGATCTAGGCAAAAACTGGTGCTCTCTGAGCTTGCTTGTTTTCCTGCAGACATTTCATTGCCCTAATTAGGTAACATCATCAGTGAATGACAGAGAGAGAGAGAGAGAGAGAGAGAGAGAAACAGACAGAAGCTTTGTTTTTCAGATCCCTTGGGGAAATTTCTGCTTTTGCAGAAACATTTGCAAATTTGTGTAACTCGTTTATTGGAACTTTCCAGACACTTTCCCCCGTCCAAATAAATGTGTTCATTTAGAGATGGTGCCCTCTCATAGCATCAGATCAGAGGCATCAAGATATTGGTAGCAAAAAAAAAACAAATAAAACTCTATAAAAAAAAGATATTGATAGCACAAAACTCAACAGCTGGGAGCCTCGGTCTGAGGACTCCTGCCAATTTTTATAGCCTCAGCATTCTTGTATGATATTATTGCTCTATGCATTGGTAATTCCTTCTCCTTCATTCTATGCCATTAAAATAAGAACTGACTATAAAGATTAACTCTCTCTTTCTTTCTCAAAAGTTGACTTATAAGAAATACATAAATGTCCTATTATGTTTTAGAATTGTCTTAAATTTTTTATTTTGTTCCTATGAGATTATGTACCATTGTCAATGTTTTATTGCTACTGATATATTTCTCTTTCTGGCTGTTCTTCCTTCATGCAGACATGAAAAAAATCTATGAATTCCCACTTTGGTTTATTAGTTCCCCACATACTTAGTTGATTATTATCTGGAGTATTATTAAGTCTGAGTAATCTCTGTTCATAAAATACGCAACCTTTCTTTTCTGACAATAACAAATTATTTAATTTTCTCTGGCAAAGTTGCTCGTATTTATATCGGAACAAATTAAATATGCTTTGTTAGAATCAAATCATACTCAAAGGGGAGAGAAGACTTGGAAAACTTCTCACAGACTTTTTAATTTTTTTTAAAATAATGTTTATTGACAGTTTCCAAAAAAAAAAACCACAGAATTTTTTAAAAAAGAGATACATGTTCTCACATTTTTGCAACATTTTCATAGCAGTGTACATTTCTATTAGTGTCAATTGAAGTCATTTGCTACAAGTAAATCTATATGTTTTTTCCTAAATCCTCACCATGTTTCTCACAAAATAAGGCCGGGCCTTATTTTTTTTTTGACCCCCGAAAAAACGGCTAGGCCACCCTGCCCTTCCCCCCCATTTCACTTCACCTCGTGTAGTTTTAATGAACGATGTGAGAAATGGTGGGGAAACACATGGATTAAATAGGCCTAAATTTTGGGGGTGGGGCTTAATTTCACCTCATGCCTAGAAATCATGCTGGGCCTTCCTATTGGTGGAGGCCGTATTGTTGGAGAAACACAGTATTTCTTTATGTTATTATTACATTTATAATACAATATTTAATTATATTACTTTACTTCTTCTTCTTCTTTTTCTTCAGCGTTTGTCTCGCGCTCGGGCGAGGTCCGCTAATGTCCTTGAGTACTGCTTCCACACCTCTCTGTCTGCCACGTGTGTCGGGTCTGCCTTCGCGATCTCTAGATCGGCCTTGATCGTGTCCATCCAGCGTTGTTTAGGTCTACCACGCGGTCTCGCTCCTCCGACAGTCACCTTCAATTATATTACTTTACATATATACATAACTGTATATATAGCTCACAGACTTTTAGATACAAATTTATCAGTGGTGGGATTCAAATTTTTTACTACCGGTTCTGTGGGCATGGCTTGATGGATGTGGCAGGGGAAGCTTACTGCAAAATCCCATTCCCTCCCACCAGGCTAACCTGCTTTCCAGCTCCGTTCTCCTGTGCAGGGCAACCAAAGAAGACCCAGCCAATGATCAGCTGGGACTCAATGGGAGGCGGAGAATAGATGGGGGTGGGGCCAGTCAGAGGCGGGATTTGCTGGTTCTCCGAACTACTCAAAATTTCCGCTACCGGTTCTCCAGAACTGGTCAGAACCTGCTTAATACCATCTCTGAAGTTTATATACAAGACACTGACTAAACCTTACTTGGATCATTTGGTTTGTTATTTACTTATTTATTTATCCAATTCATATGACCACCCATCTTAAGAAAAGTGATTTTGGGCAATTTACTATTTTTTTCTATCTAATTTCTTCTGCTTTTTCTATTAATTCTCAGAATTTGCTTGCCCCACAGCTAAGATGATATGCAGCGAATACCACCACTCTTTTAAACTCAATTTTATTCCTTTTTGAATTCCTGCATGGGATGGAAATTCTGTCTCCTTATCGTTTATCCTGCCTTTTCTTAACTTTTTTTTCCCTAACTGTACAATATGTTAATGTTGTTGTTTCCATTCAATGTTTCATGCCTATTATTAAAAAGATGAGTAGGGGACTGGAAACCAAAACATATGAAGAACAATTGCAGGAATTAGGTATGTCTAGTTTGATGAAAAGAAGGACCAGGGGGTGATTTGATAGCAGTGTTCCAATATCTCAGGAGCTGCCACCAAGCAAAGGGAGTCAAGCTATTCTCCAAAGCCCCTGAGGGCAGGACAAGAAGCAATGGGTGGAAACTAACCAAGGAGAGAAGCAACCTACAACCAAAGGGAAGCTTCCCGACAGTTAGAACAGTTTATCAGTGAAACCACTTCCTCCGGAAATTGTGGGTTCTCCAACACTGGAGGTTTTCAAGAAAAGATTGGACAGCAATTTGTCTGAAATAATTTAAGGTCTTCTGCTTGAACAGGGAAGTGGATTAGAAGAATTCCAAGTTCCCATTCAACTCTGTTATTCTCTTATTGTCATGCTTCCATTTATGACAATGAGAATATTGTGTCTCATTTCTAGAATTAGTGTAAGGATATATTCACCTATTGGGGAAATTCTTATTCTCTGGGAAAGCAAGCACCTTCCCTCCTTGGGTAGTGGTTTAGCTTCCTTCATGTACATCCTGTTACATAATTCCAGTCCTGTGAATCAGCATTCTTACTAATGATATGTATACGTGGAGGAAAAGGATATTTGGCAATGTTTATTACTCATAACAAGGAACTTTAACTGAGCCCAGACAATCCGCATGTAAAAGGAATTAATTATTATTATTATTATTATTATTATTATTATTATTATTACTACTACTACTACTGTTGTTCTTTTTGTTGTTGTTGTTATCACAATCAGCCAGATGATCAGACTGGGTTTGGCATTTTTGTCTACCTATCAAGTCCTTAAGCAGGACCTGGGAGAGGCAAATCTGGATTTGTGGTGGTGTTACAGATGTCACCGCAGGATGGAAGCTGTTCCAATTAAAGCTGCCTTCTACAATTGACCGGTGGCAAATTTGTCAATGCCAATGATGGTGTTCAAGTGGTGCTCCAGTTGTTTTGGTATTACATCTCAGGTGCCTTATTAACTACTGGTCCTACTCTTGCTTGCCTTTGCCATAGTCATTCTACTACTATTATTATTATTATTATTATTATTATTATTATTATTATTATTATTATTATTATTATTATTTTCAGATACTGGCAGAAGAGAAAAAAGACTGACTCAATAACAGGAAATACCGTAATGAATGTCAAGGTTTGTAATGCCTCCCTTTCTACTGAAATTCAAAGCAAGGGCGTTTTGATATCGTGCAACCAAAACAGAGCATTCAAATGGATGACTGATCAGGCAGGTGGGACTAAATAGCCCACTGTTTCTTTTCTCTCACTCGTCTCCTGCAACTCAATAACTCGGTAGGAGATGTGCAAAAAAAATGGGAGATTCCTCTTTGAGGTCCACTAGACTAGGCGGTCCTCCAACCTTGGCAACTTTAAGCCTGGAGGACTTCAACTCCCATTGCTGGCTGGGGAATTCTGGGAGTTGAAGTCCACCTGGCTTAAGGTTGCCACGGTTGGAGAGCCCTGCACAGAGCAAGCTGTGCTCTTCCTTCAGCACTGGCTGGGCTTCAGCTGTACTTCCCTTTAGCCAAAGAGACGGCCTCGCCTCTTTCTGACCTGCAGTCAGGAAGTCTTGAGATGCAAAGCATTTCCCCTACAAGTTGGGGACAATGTGTCCTCACAGAGTTAACCTATTGCATTTCTTGGCTTCTGTTTGGACCTGTGCCATCTCTCAAGTGGTTGAGATGAACTTGATTTTGCACGATGAGATCAGGCCTGAATTGCAAGTGGCATCCAAAGGGAAAAGGGCTTTATTATTGGCCCCATTGTCTATGGAGTTTCCCAGTCATCTTATTGTCCCAAAGGTGCTTTTTCAAGAGGGAACTGGACTTCCTGTTTTTATCCTTGAAGGTGTTTCATTTTTTCATCCCAAAAACTTCTTCAGTTCTGACTGAATGGTGTGGAATGGAAGGATTTATATTCTTTGCAGTCATCTGGGCATTAGCACAGGAAATTATGGGAAGAAAAGGGAGATGGGGAAGCGGGGTGTGAGATACAAGGGAAAAGAGAGAGAGCAAAAAAGGACATTGACTTCTGACTCTTCTTAGCACAGTACAAGGTAAAAACACTCCAACTTCAACTTTTTGCTTCACCCAGCACACTTTCTGACAGTTGTTGACACCACTTGGGGATTTATCTATGTCTCAGGGTCACCTGAATGGATGTAGAGCAATGGTGGGATTGAAAAATGTTTATTACTGGTTTTGTGGGCATGGCTTGGTGGGCATGGTGTGGCTTGGTGGGCGTGGCAGGGGAAGGATACTGCAAAATCTCCATTCCCTCTCCACTCCTGGGGGAAGGTTATTGCAAAATCCCATTCCCTCCCCACCCCATTAACCTGATTTCCAGCTCCATTCTCCTGTGCAGGGCAACCAAAGAAGACCCAGCTGGTCAACTGGGACTCAGGAGGCAGAGAATAGTTGGGAGCGGGGCCAGTCAGAGGTGGTGTTTGCCACTTCTCCAAACTACTCAAAATTTCCACTACCGGTTCTCCAGAACTGGTCAGAACCTCTTGAATACCACCTCTGATATGGAGCCTTTTTGGAATTTGATGAAAGGACTGTGTTGTAAACCAGGGGTCACCAACCTTTTGGACCTCAGGGACCACCAAACTCATCATTTTAAATCCCACAGACTAGAGACCCTGGGAAACTCCCCATAAATGTCTGCAGGAAAATTCTCCACCCCGTTTTCCTACCGATCAATCATTGTTTATTTGGGATCGCAGGATACTATCTCCAGCTATGTTTCTGGGGTGGGGGGAGGGGGGGAGAGAGG